ACCACTTGCTAATGTTACTGAATCTGTGGAAGCCACCGCAAGAAGTAACGAATAACGAGCCTATCTAAATCCCAGTAACGAGTAACGCGTTCCTGATTTTGGCATAATAACTAGTTACCATGCTCGTTACCACAATAATAACGTAGTTACTGTAACGCGTTACTTAATAACGCGTTAGTCCCAACACTGCTGATATCCCTAAAGTCTAACTGATTTTGTCTGCTAAAGTGTTCCCTTTATTTATTTTTAGCATTGTAGTAGAAAACAAACACAGCAACATTTCTTGGATGCATTGGCCGGGTATATAAAAATGTTCTAAAAGTTCCAGGTCATGCACAAAATGTAAATGAATCTAAATTAAAACACTACCCTGAACACCTTGCAATGCATCTACCATCAAATTCAATGCAATGCGATAGCAAATGTGGAATCACAGATATTTTTCAAACAATAGTCTCCACAGAAAATAAGGCACATTTACAAGTGCCCCCTCAACAGAAAATTATAACTGTGAGCAGGAAAATAGTTTTGCAGCCCAACATGTATCCACTTTTCACTGAGTGCTGTTCATTGCACAAAGCCAGAACTTGATAGATGAGGGCATTTAGTTTCCTTTGTGCAAACCTTTTGATGCCAAAAACCTGTCAAAAACCTACACCAGCAATCATAAGAACTACTTTCTAAAGAAAGGAGAAGTAGTAAAAGACATTTAGAAATACAAAGGAACTGCAGCAAAATCAAAGCATGACACATGTCAGCTGCCAGAGCAAATAAGAACTTTTTTTTCTTATCTCAGGGCCTCTTGAATTAATGTTTCTTTTATGAATAAGAACCCAGCCAGCAACTTTATGTGTTGAATATTAAGTGTAACATTTCATTCATTTTTTGGCGACGTTCATTTATCTTTTTATTGTTATAAAAACGAAAGCACTTGATTTTGTTTTTCAGTTCATTTCACAGTTGATGAGCTTCCTGATCGGCTTAGTCAGCGCGGTGTTCTGCGGTCACCTGGGAAAGACGGAGCTGGCAGGGATGATGTTAGCAATGGCAGTAAGCTATCTCGATGCGTTTTTTGTTTCTACTTTTTTTGCTATTGTGAAATGTTGAAAATCGCTTCAATAGCCTTTTTTGCCTTTAAATAAGTATTATACTCACGCATTCAGCTTTTCATTTGTGAGCCTGAGGTTCTTCTGTAATGTAATAAAGTTTAATTTCAATGCAGGTCATAAATATCACAAGTATTTCCATCGGCTATGGTTTGATATCAACATTTGATACTCTCATAACCCAGGTACAATTCACTTTATTCATCTAATCGGGTCAGTCTTAAACACAGTCTGCTTTTTCAGACTTGTGGTTACCCTTTTTCTTGCACCTCAGCAAATACTATGAGATTTTCCTTTTTACCATTTTGCTTTCAGACTTATGGAAGTGGTAACCTGAAGCGTGTAGGAGTGATACTCCAAAGAGGAGTTTTGATCCTCCTCTTAGCCTGTTTCCCCTGCTGGGCTCTCCTTATTAACACTCAGTCCATTTTGCTGGCTGTCAAGCAGAGCACGCAGGTTGCAAGGTGACCTTCTTACACAAATCAAACTGACATCAATGGCACATATACACTTATTACTCACAAAGTTATTCAGTGTGGGTTCTGCACTTACTTACAATCTCCCCTTTTCTCTCTGCCATAAAGACTGTCACAGCTGTATGTGAAGATCTTTATGCCGGCTCTGCCAGTGAGTTCAGCTGCCACCACGCTTTTCCCAAATGTCTTTTGTATCTCCTTCCATAATGTGTTGCATTATCAGTCTAATTAACCCCCATTCAACACGTTGGGTTCGGCAGGCTGCCTTCATGTACCATCTGCAGGGGAGGTATCTTCAGAATCAGGTGCATTTGATGACTGCAAAACACTGGTGTGAAACAAAATATTAATGAGATGTCTTGGAGTATGCAATGACATTGTTTTGTGTGTTGCTAGAGAGACATTTTTGGGGGGAAAATAGCAAAAATAACAGCAGGTGCACCAAAACCCTGTGTTTTTCATACAGTTTGCTTTGGCTCACAGGGCATCATGTGGCCCCAGGTGCTATCCGGAGCCATAGGAAATGTTTTAAATGCTGTTATCAATTACATCCTCCTCAGTGTTCTGGATCTGGGGATTGCGTAAGTACACACCATCACTCCCTGCTCCCCTTAGTTAATGTTTTACACTAATCAGCTTTGGAAAGCAATATAATGTTGATTACTGATAGTCAGCTGAATGCTTAATCTGGGAACGTCTTTGTATGTGCAACTTTCCTTTTCTACTTTTCTATTGCTTAACATTCAAGCGGATCCGCAGCTGCCAATGCCATCTCACAGTACTCCCTGGCTGTGTTTCTGTTTTTATGCATCTACATCAAAGGGCTGCACATACCTACATGGGATGGCAAGTTTACTAGATATACTTTTTCTTCAAATTTTCAAATTAAGTGACAGGATATCAGAGAAAGGGCAAAGCCACTCTCTTGGAACTAATACTTTGCTCCTCATTACAATTATAGTAATCAGTTGTGCATAAATTCTTTAAGGGTGTTGCTATTTAAACTGACTGGACTCCACATTACAATCATTATGGAGGATTTAGTTTGTGATGCTATTATATTTTTAAATTGTCCTCAGAGTGTACACGAAAAATACTAAAAGACAAGCCAGCAAATACTTTTGAAAAACCTATTTTTTTAAAAAGCACATTTACACCTTAATTATAGATTTGTTATGTAATTTGTTAAATTACATCAGCTTTGCTGTCGGTGAACATGTACAAGCTGTTTGTTTTTTAAATCATTACTTTATTTAGTTTTTATTCCTTAATATGTGCTGAGTTGAAAACTTGTCTATATATGTAAAAGTCAATTTTTTTGACATTTGGGTTTCAGTGTTTAGCTAACATGCTTAAGCTAGCTAAAGAGCAACATAGCTGAGGTAGAAGAATTACAATTTTAAATAATTTAGGCATATTTTTGTCCTTCAAAGCGAGTGTGATACATAAAGTTCCTAAAAATTAAGGAATGCTAGCATGCTAACACACTGCTAGAAACGCCTTGTAGCATAGTAGATACTGAAAGAAGTGTAATTTAAATGGCAGCACAGTGTAAAGAAGGCAAATGTGAGCATTTAGCTAAACCTTTCATACCTTCTGTTATCTTTCAGGATGGTCTGGAGATTGCCTGCAAGAATGGGGTTCCTTCCTCCACTTGGCCCTCCCCAGTATGCTGATGTACTGTCTGCAGTGGTGGTTGTATGAGATTGCAGGGTTCCTGGCTGGTGTCATCAGTGAAACAGAGTTGGCGGCTCAGTCTGTAGCTTATGAAGTGTCTACTGTCGTTTTCATGGTAACTCGTTTTTTGATATAGTTATTTAAACATTTTTTAAAGGTATGTGCAAGAGGGCTCATAACTGAGTAGCGTATTGATAATAACTGTAACACTGTGTCACTAATCCACACACACTCAAAATATATTTATGCCCAAAATGCTGATATAAGTTATTTGATTACATGTAAATTCTCCACATAGTTTTGTTACATTATTGCAGTGTCAAATGAAATGTACTTGATTGGTATAAATTCAATTTAAGCTTCTTCTTTTTTTGCTTAATGATTAATTATTTAAATATTTGTATATATTTCAGTTTCATTTTACTTAAAATTAGTGATTCATGTTTATTCATGTGGTGAATAATTGTGAAAAAAAAAAGATCTTTTGCCACATTGGCGAGCCTGTATATTGAGTTTATTTTACACACATTACATAAAGTTATTGATAAATTCTAAAGTAACTAAATGATTTTCATGAGCAAAATGTTACTCTGTTACTGTGAAGTAATTGCTAACATTTGCTCTTCCACAGTTTCCTGTAGGCTTTTCTGCTGCTGCCAGTGTTAGGGTTGGAAAGGCTCTTGGTGGTGGGAACACAGAACAAGCTAAGCTGTCCAGCAAGGTCTCCCTTCTCTGTGCATGTATGAAATTATATTACATGCACATTACATTATATTATATTGGGATGTCACACCAAAATCAGAATTTCCTGTTTTAGTATGCTGTTGTCAAATGAAAAATATCTCAAAAATGAGAGCAAGAAAATAATTATATGCCTAGTTAATTTATTGCTCACATTTTAAAAAACGCCTTTCTTATATCCAATCCAGTGATTGTCTCATGTTTCCTTGGAGCCGGTATTGGTATAGCCAAGGATGTGATTGGTTACATATTTACCACAGAGAGGTGAGTAATACAGAGAGGTGAATAAACTTGTGTGTTTATCCTTGGTGCAGAAACTATGAGTATATGTCAGTCATGAGTAATTCATCATGTATTAACTTCAGTACTAATCCATCTGTGCTTCTTAATACACAAAAGTAAGTCATGGAGTTCCACAGGGGTCTGTAGTGGTAACCAATACTTTACATTATACATGTTCCCATTATATAATATTATTTGAATTATATTATTTGACACTGAATAACATTTTCATTGCTATGCAGCTGACATCCAGCTTAATGGCATAAAGGCCTGGGTGACCTCTCATTTCATACTTCTAAATTCAGACATAACTAAGGTTATAACCTGATATTTATCTTAGAAGGCGTTTCTTTGGCTTACCTCAATGATACTGAAAAGCTACTTCATGAATGTATTACTTCTAGGCTGGACTATTTTAATTCATTATTATCAGCTTGCTTTAAAATCTCCCTGAATAACCTTCAGTTGATTAAAAAAAATGTTCCAGCAAGAATATTAACTGATACTAGAAAGGGGGACAATATTTCTCCCATATTAGCTTCTCTTTATTGGGTTACTTGTGGCTGAAGGTAAAATAAGGTAAAATGGGAGGCAGAGCCTTCTGCTTTCAGAGTCCTGTTCTGTGGAACCAGCTCCCAGTTTGGATCAGATGACCCTGAGCTATCCATTAATTACACTGCAATACGACTAGGCTACTGGGGGGTTCCCGTGATGCACTGACCATGTGCTTTGTGCTTATATACCACTCTGCATTCAATCAATAATAATTATGGAACTCTGGCTTTTTTTAGATGCGTGTCTTGTCCTGATTCTCTCTGCTGTCTTCTCATTCTCTTCACCCTCGACCGGTCACAGCAGACAGTTCTGCTGGAGGTTTCTTCCTGTTAAATGGGAGTTTGTTCCCTTCCCAGCTTCAGCCACTTGCTTGCTCATAATGGGTCACGTGATTGGGGTTGGAGTTTTTTTTCTACTGTTGTGGGATATTTACGTTCCAATATGAAATACCTTGAGGAGACTGCTGTTGTGAATTGGCACTATATAAATGAAACTGAATCTAATTAAATTGGCTTACTCCTACTTACTCCTCTATTTCAGAGACATTATACAGAGGGTGGCTAATATCATGAAGATATACAGTTTCATCCATGTTGCTGAGACTATTGCGGTGAGATCCTTCCCAGTTCAAAAACACTTTTTCCCTCTGCTGAGCAAAACCAGCCTGATGTGTCGACAGAAAACTTTTATTTGCTTTTTTACCTTCACAGGGTGTGTCAGGAAGCATTGTCAGGGGGGCAGGGAAGCAGAAGATTGGTGCGCTGTGCAGCTTGGTGGGATACTACCTCATTGGGTTCCCGATTGGAGTATCTTTAATGTTCCCTGTGAAAATGGGAATTTTTGGTTAATGTCAACAATATATTTTTGCAGCATATACAAAAGATAGTTAAATTATATTTACACTAACAACTAACTGATGACTTTCTATCTCTGTTGCAGGGCTTTGGACTGGGTTTTTAATTAGTACTTCTTTACAGTCCATGTTTTTTATAACTTTCCTGTGTAAACTAAACTGGACGAAAGCCACTGAGGAGGTAAGTCCTGGGTGAGGAAGAGGAAGATACAGTCATGTAAAAAAGAACATGTTAAGTCGTGTGAAAAAAGCTTCCAGAGCCACTTTTAGTAGCAAGAACTAGAAGTAATATATTTCAATGTGACTTTATCAGAAGGAGTTTCAGTCTCTCATGTTGTTGTGGAGGATATTTTTTACAACAGCGCTCCAGTTTGTTGAGACTTGCTGGTATTTGTTTATGCACAGTTCTCTTAGGGTCCCACCAAATTTCATTTTCAATCAGTCTGAGGTCTGGACTTTGACTGGGGCACTCCAACACCTTGATTCGGATTTAGTTTTTTGTTGTTGTTTTTTACCCTTTCTGTTGTAGATCTGCTGCTGTGCTTGGGATCATTGATGGTCTTACAGTTGACTCCAGAATACGTCGGTATACAGAGTTCATAGTTCTATCAATGACTGCAATGTGCCCAGATCCTATAGCTAACCTCTTCAATTACTCCTTCACCACTGTGCGTGACAGTTGGTATGAGGTCCCAGAAAGTTGATCCTTTTCATCTGGATGTAGTGTTTTAAGTGGGAGAAGCCATTTTGTTAGTCATCCAAATGACCCCTTCAGCCTCACGTGACTGCAGGTTTCCCCAACTAACACCACTGACCAACACTGGGCCATGAGCACAGTTTCCTAATCATTAACATGCAAATTGTCAAGACCATTGCTTAATGGCCATTCACAGAGAATTAGGGAATGACTAGAAAAACAGCATTGTAAGATTCTGAAATAGCCTGACACAAAGGATGACCAAAGTTCTTTGCTTAGGCAGCGGTTGTCCTTCTTCTCTTCTGGAATGTGTGGAGCATTCTTTAGTGGACTTCCCAGCTTTCACAACATGTCCAGCTGGAATAACCACATTCACTCAGGGCCTTTCTGATATGATGTTCCTCTGCTTTCAAGATGAGATAAGAGCATTTTTCTCCAAAAGAGAGACGTTTTTGTGCTTTGTTCAGATACAGCTTTACAAACCTAAGCTGTGCTGCTATGTTGTTATTACAGAGATTCTTCTGAGAACCTTTCCAAAGAAGTCATGTTTGTTCAGCGTTTTTCTCAGTGTTCTGAGGCCTGTGTAGTCAGAGACCTAGCTTATGCGTTTTCGGCATTTTCTCTTTCGTGTGAATGTAAGAAATGTAGTTAATGTAATGTTAACACGATCTATGTAAAATCTGGGATCTGTGTTATTTTTAAAATACTTTTTTTTTTCTTGTTTTTTAATATCTCTGAATAGGCACTTGTAAGAGCAGGAGTCCAAATTACAGAGAGGAATACTAATGGTAAGCAAAAAAAAAATTTCCTTCAGTAGCTTTTGGTCATTTTTCTGGGAAATAAGATTACCGTGATTTTAAAGTTTCCCTGAGCACCCTGGACCCAAGGGAAAAATGCATAACGACCAGCCGATCCAGTTCTGTGATTCCAGTAGAAGAAAGGCCAGAGCCACTCAATTCAGATGAGAGGGCCTTGGGCGCCATGGCCTTATCCACCAGGCAGCTGGTGTTACGACGTGGTGCCACTGTGCTGCTAATGTTCGTCATCCTTGCTGCTGGAGTTATCATCAGCGAGATTCTCATCAGACGCCTTGAAAAGTGATTGAATAATGTGTGCAGTACAAAACAAACAAACAAGTCTGCCTTTAGGAGTATATGTGACATGTATCATAGTAAAGCATATCTTATAAACCAGCTTAATATTTATCACAGGATGCTGTGAAGTTCTGTCTGCACCCATAATATGAAGTAATTAGGATGACTGTGAAGACTGTGAATTGCCCCATCTCAACTAATTCATCATTTAAAATATTCAGTCCAACTTTTACACAATTTTAGGCCATTTTGTTTTCTGCACTTAGTGCATGAGATGGCAAATAGCAGCATTAGAATGAGCAGTAATTACTGAGCTTTCTAAAAGTCAAACACGCTTCTTGGGGCTGAATTATAGCTTCATTTCCTGACATTACTGCACAATCAAAATGTCTTTAAAGCCACAGAATATTATCTGCTTGCCATTTCAGTAGTAGTATTTGAGGTCAGTTTTATAGCTCTTTCTAGATCTAATTTAATCCATAGTCGGAAAAATATAGTAAAAAATAGGGCTTAACTGAATGAAAAGCCAAACTGAAAATAGTTACTGTATAGACAAGACGTTCTTTTTTATAGGAACATGCTGTGTAAGCTGAGCACCAATCGAGACTGTGAAATAAATAAAATTTCCCATCCTACAATTCATAGCCTGAATTGGTGCCGCAATTAGAACCTAACATGATTAAAGGTTATATTTAGGCTACAGCACATCTGTGGAAGGGTGCTTTCATCATCAAAAGACAGAAATGCTACTCTCTTGCTTGGTTTATCTTGCGTTCCTTTGATCTGTGTTGCCAAATTTGATGATAATGAAAGGCCTGTATGTGCTCACTGTAACATGCTGGCTGGATAAAGACATGTCACCCTGAGCAAATCAACCACCTGTTCCCTCTGCCCGAGCAGATAACCAGCTCACAGCTGAAGCCTGCTCATAAATAAAGGATTCAACCTGCTTAACAATGAACAGTCAACCATGTGGGATTTTGGCATGTATATGTGGTGTTTGTACACAGCTATTAATTAAATAAATTGACTGTTTGTCTGTAATATCTAAGGTTAGCCTGGAATCAGTTAGCGCAAAGGCTAGAAAGAGGAATCACTGCTCAAAGATAACAAAATCTGCATTTAAATACCTCTAAAGCTCACTATCTACTCAATTGTGACCAGTGACTATACCAGAGCCTGGCTCCTCCTTGTACAGTCTGTCCTAAAGCAAAGACATGCTATTGTGTTTGGGCCAGATTTCAATTAATTCTTTTTTTGGAGCAAGTCAAGAACAAGTAAATAAGAAATCTGATTTTTATTTGATTTTAATCTGAACTCAACCAGCATGAGAAGTTCCCAAATTACGCTCATAACATGTTAAGTGAATAGAAAACAGGGGAACAGGTTTTGGTTGCTCTAGCTTTATTTTTGCTTTTTCTCATCAAGCGTATTCCCCTACTACATTACTTTTATTTTACTTGTGCTAATGCTAAACCTTGATGTTAAGCAGCTAATGGACGGTCACACAAGGCCCTGCACTTGCTACAGCTTGATGTTTGCAACAGTACGGTTAAAAAAAAACTTGCATATTAATTTATCGTTATTCAACATGTAAATCAGGTTTGATTCATACAAGGTTACATCGTCATCTGAGCTTCAGTCTTGCTCATCAGTGGAGGTATTGCCACAGGCTCCTCACAGAGACCATAATCTTGGTCTGCTCACCTCCAGAGACTGCAATCAGTAACACGCTGCGGCGTCATTAACAAGTGAAAAGTGACTGTCTAAAGATTTGCTGTTAGTATCTTTAGACTGCAACTTAGTCTCTTTACGAGTCTCATAATAACTTTTCAGGTGTTGTAACCACAAAGCACAATAATATTCTTGAACCTCAGTTAAATTATGACTCCAATTAATGCAACAATATAAAGCCGGGACTGAGTTTAAATGTTCAAATTTAAATGGAAATAAATAGAAATAGTAATAAATGTTGAAACGAACACATTTTCTTGCTTGTTTTTTGTTTTTTAAGAAATACATTCTCGTTTTAAACGCGATGCCAGTTCGCATGCTTTAAAATAGTTGGGATGGGGGCATGCATCCCATTATGTGGCTATACATGTACTTTTAAACTACACTTTTGATAACTGAGGAAGCCAGCAGCTGTAGCTTTGAAAGCAAAATGATTTTGTGTTGTTGCTTGGAATTTCATCTCCACAGCAATTCGGGGACTCCTTTGTTGTATTTTTCATTTCATAATGTACAAAATGTTTCAAGGGGAGACAGCTTTGGACTGCAGGCAGGGCCATTTATCACCTGCACTAGTTTGCCATAGTGGTCTCCTTGGTCTACCTGCATAATGTTGTCTGGCACTATCTCACAGACACAAGCAAGGCTTTCTTAAAAAAAGACATCATCTGCAGGACAACAAGTGCTGTTCCAAAACCTGCAAAAACAGTACAGTGTTGTGCATAAGTCTTGAAGCACCTCTCATTACTTTATATTTTGTTTTCAAGGAACCAAACGTTCTCCTAATTTGTGGTGTTTAAATACAAATCGTTTCCCAGGCTTTATGAAAGTCTTTTACTATTTTTCTTTGGATATTGTCTGCTTTTCATTCATTTTCATTCCAGACCTTATGTTCACCATTTTCAGAGGTTTTGTTTGTTTTTCTTAAGGCACTTAACACTATGAATCATTCAAGCACAAAAACTAACAAGAAAGGCATCTATATCAAGGGACAAACTGGTACATTGGACAACTTAGCAAAGAGAACCATTTAAATTGGCACTTTGTTACAAGCAGCCTCTCAAAAAAAACACATAATTTGTTCTTGTATGTTCGAACAACGGTATGACAAATGCCAAGGATAACACAAAGATAACAGTAAGTATTTTATGTGCACTAACAAGGTGATTCTCAAAGAGGTAAAAAGCACGGTTTGTTGTACTTAAAATATTTGAGTAATGTGAAAAAGTGGAGGAAAAAATAAATAGTGGCCAATATAGAAAAACTATCACAGCAGATGAACAGCACCTGATAGTCATGTCCTCAGATATGCCAAATTTCATAAGAACTTGACTGAAAATCAGGAGAAACAGGTTTGATGGAGTGATAAATCCAAATTTGAAATTTCAAATGCTTATGAAGTCAGGATACAAGAATCTGGAAAGCATCTGATTGGCAGCAGCTTAATTTTTCAGTATGACAATGATCCCAAATGCAGTAAAAACATACTGCATTGAACTACACACTGGAAGAGTCATGGATTGGCCTCCCCAGAGCCTGAAACTCAATGTTATTGAAGCAGTGTGGTGTCATCGTGGCAGAGAATGAAATAAAAGGCAGCCAACAACCAACGAAGAACTTTGAATGTCCTTCAAGAAACCTGGAAGTATTCCTGAATACTACTTAAAGAAATTACAAGAAAGTTTTGCTAAGAGAGTTCAGGCTATCTTGAAGAATACAGGTAGTCATACCAAATATTACCACATTGACTTGTATAAACTCGGTTTTTTATATACTGTCTTTCAATGTGTGTTTGGATATGTCAGTAAATCTCTGCACCTGTCTCCAATATTCCTAACAAAATGTAATGAAATGAGTGTCTCAGGACTTTTGCACAGTACTGCAGTTATGAGCATTCATTCACCCCGATGCCCTCCTGGATATTGATACTCTTCTATTTTCTTTTTTCTTATTTTCTTTTATTTCCAAACAAACCATAATCAGTGACAATGACTTTTTTTTTTTTT